CCTTTACAGTACTTCCAAAAGGAAAAATGAACGATATCCATTGTCATCCAGGAGATATCAAGAGAATGTGAAGGGCCCAAATGGCCTTCCTTCAGTGGGCAATGTCAGAGTTGATGAAAAATATTGCAGAAAACGTCGATGGGAAAAGGATTAACACATTTTAGCGATATTAGCAAGTTCAAATCTTAGGTTACATGAAGGGAAATACGATAGTATGTGATATTCATTCACCTGCTGGTATTGGCATATCCCTGTAGAAGAACTTGCTAGATGGATCGGCCTTCCTGGGCTCGTCAAATCTGTATCCCAAGCGACACATGACAGTCCCTGAATCCTTTGACGCTGAGTAGGACAAGCACGTGGAATTCCTACATAGATAAAACTTCACTCCCAATGAATCTAATGTACCGTGCCTTGCTCATGTATGCGTTCATTTCCTATATATATGGCATTTCTTAAGGCACACTACTTGGATTTAAACCTAAGTATTTCAAATTCGCAGATACTGACCAGTATCTACGATAAGAGAAGGGATTATTTCTTTAAAATACTGAACATGCCTATGTACCGCTCTAACATTCCCTCCCACATAATCAAAAATGTGATAAAATCGCAGCTGAATAGATATATGCAAATCTGCGATTTAAAGGATGATTTCATTTTCAACAGCGAGCTTCTTCATAAGACATTGAGCTATAATGGATATCCAGGTTGGATGCTTAGCAAAAACTTCAAGCTCTTCAATAAAACCCACTATTTGCCAATCTCAAACAAATATGGAGAGGTGGGTGGTGAAGATATTTTTTCCTCTTTCTTAAAGTAAGGCTTTTTTGTTTGAGACTTCTTTTTGTTTGTTCTGCGATAGACTTTAGGCCAGGCGTAATTTCAGCCTCCTTCTTATCTGCCCTAAATCAAGCATTTTTCGTGATCGTAATGTATTCTGGCCGATTGGCTAATCTATTAAACGAATCATGATGAAGTACACACAAAAAATCCTAAAAGTAGATTTAAAAAAAAAACCAACAAGGGATTTTTTGCTGGAAAGAAACCATTGAATCGAGGCTGATTTAATGTCGATACTTCCACCGTGAATAGTGCAGCATTGATTCAGTGTTGAATCAATGTTGATTCAGCATAGAAGTATAAACCTTCAACAGCGAAACATTCGATCCACACCAAATCAACGTTGAATCAATGTTATGTGTTGGGTTGTAGAGGAATCGACTGGGTGGGAAGAGATAGCTATGAAAAAGTGGGTGCGGAAATGCAAAAAAAAAGGAACTGGTTTTAATCGAATGAGTGCAATCTGCAATGCATTTCGAGCTGTCTCCAGCAACAAATCAATAGGGGACAATGGAGAGTCGCCGGGATCGAGACTGCATTCCACGCCGAGGCACTCAGTTGAAGGTCGGAAGATTCGTGCAAATATTCAGTCAAGGTTTGATTCATGTTCTCAGTCTCAACGAAACAATAGCATTCTTTGAATTATGAATGGGACGAAGAGTGAAGTATGTGCGCAACATATGTCGTGGTGAACTTCCTCAAAGACTTTTACCACTCAATTAGTGGTATTCCCGCAAAATATTCCCCTGAAGTGAGAATCGCAAATGTATCTTTGAAATTTGACAATTGTCAAGAATTATTGCGACTGTGACGGGCTGTTTGGTATGCCACTGTCGCATCAGAAAAACTCCTCAAAGCTCAGGATCTACTTGCTACTGCAAAAAAATGAAAACGAAAGGAATTTCTCGGCCGCATTCAAGGTCTCCCTGTCTAACCGCATGTTCTGAATATTTTTAAATTATCTTCGCAGGTTGAGAGATGGAAACGGTCTGCAGGTACATGTGGAAACCTGCCTCGGTATTTCCGGGTATTGCGTAGTACGACTTAGTATGGAAAAAAATGAGGGAAACTGGTTATGAGGAAGCCCCACCGAAGCAAGGAAGAGACAAATATTGTGAGCAAAGTCGAGCATTTCGAATACACCACGCACCATTCCAAGAAGCGTGAATCACAAGAAACTCCCAGCATGATTCTTCCAGCAGCGATGACACAATCTCTTTCCGCCATTGGAATTCTCATTTGTGCTCTGCCATGGTCTAGGCGGCCCCGAATTCGGCGGATTCACAGCATTGATATAAGCCAGATATGATTGATATGAGCTGCACCGCGCAGGCAAGGTGTATACAGGTAAGTGTCGACGAAGATGAGAAATTTCACAATTTTCAGTTGATGGGAGGTGGCGTGGCGCATTTTGTCGCTTGTGTCGGTCGACGTGACAGACGACAAGCGGCCACAACAAGGAAATCGGCTGCGAGAATTCACTTACAGCCCAAAAAAATATCCTCTACCTCCAAGTTGCAGACCGATCAGAGACGTAATCGAAGTGTCTTGGCGCTCTCCCAAGCGCCATGTTTACGCAAACAAGATATCAATTTTTTTGCAAACAATGTAAATTTCTTGCGATTGCCATGAAAATGACATCACGTTTACGTAAAATTTATGTCCCTATATTTACGTCACCAAAGTGTACGTGTAATTTACGTAAACTAGACGTCACTCCATCTGACGTGAAGTACATGATCTGGCTTTTCCGTTATAGTATCAAATTTTCTTACCATCCTTCCACTTTTTATTATGCAATCCATTAATATATATATATATGGAAAGCAGGAAATTATTACATATTTTGAATAATATATGAATCAGGGAATCATTAAATTCCGAAGCTAAGCTTGTTATTACAGCAGTGCACTGAATTAGGGAGGAGTAGAATCCCAACTCAGTACAAAAGTACTCTACAGAACAAAGTACTCTATTTTCTCAATCCTTAATGGAAGAGAACTCCTCTAAACGTTTATTTCTCCTCCCGAGGTCCTAGTACGGGAGGAGGGACTAGCGAGTCGTCTCGGTACTCTTGAATGCAGATGAGGATGAGTACTTGTGTACTCGTGTATCCATCCAAGTAACCTTGAGTTTCAAAGTATGGAAAGGAATGGGAGAAATAGTGTATCAATTCCCTTCATACATACATTTTCTAGCCCGCTTTTCCCAACTTAATGGGGTCGCGATTCGAGCATTCCCAGGAGCGTCCTCCAGCGATCTCGATCCTGGGCAACAGACTCGAGCTCGGCTGGTGGGATGCCGAGCCTCTCGTGACAAAGCCGAGCGGCGTAATCGCTCCACCTTGTACGTCAAGGCCATGCATGGGTCAAGTGTGGCCCATGCATGGCTGCAAGGCTGCGAAAGATCATCCAATGCAGTTTCCATGAATATGTGGATAGAAGTGCTGGACATCTGGACGAAACATGCTGTTACATGAGGAGGCGGTGCATGAGCATACCCAAATGCACCGCCTCCTGGACATCCGCTTGACATACTCCAGAAATTTTCGTTGCACGAAATTTGTATGCAAGTAAATACAAAAAGGTCATTCTATGATTTTTTGGCACTATGCATACATGCAAAACCTAAGCAACGTTTTTCCTGCAATGTAATACCTCTTATTTTGCACTCGTAATGCATGTTCACTTTAATTCATGATTGATCACTCATCTTAAACCCACAGTCTGATAACGTCCCAATAACGTGCAATGCTACTCAAAGCCAAAAGCGTTCCAATCCTGCTTTCCACAACAGGTCCTTGCGTCAGGTAATGACTTCGACTTCTTTGCTTGTCCTCGATGCAGTTAATGTTTTTATTTTCAACTGCTGAGCCTCCATTATTATGTTTCAAAGTACTCAGCATGTTCCAGCATATTTCACACGTACCTGGAAAACCGAGAGTTGTTTTTCGAGAAGTGGCCATATTCCCCCAACAACATTGGTAATATGGCCTCTTGGGAACGACTTGGCAAAGATCCAAAGGCGCAATATCCATGCGATTTTTTCCATTTGCCTTGCTGAGGTCTCGCTTTGCTGCATCGATCCGATTTTTGGTGGCGCCTCTTCCAAGGGGGAATTGAGGATGGCCACTTCCCGGGCATCGGGGTCGGCTTTCTGGTAATTACCATTTCTGACGGATGGTAATGGCAGCTGCGAAGGCACGGTGGTACAGCTGTCAGATCGCAGTCTGCAAGGTCGCAGGAGATGGAGGATCTGGTTGACCTGGTACCAGGATTCTGATAAATTGCCATCCCCCTTAGTCCATTGCGGAGAAATCGTCTTCATGGCAAGAGCCTGCCATGAAAAATTCTGGATGAAAGAAGAGAGAGCAGGAAGACAAGCAGGAACTGGTATGAATCGAATGACTGCATTCTGCAAGGCGTTTCGAGCCGAGTCGTCTGTCAGCTACAAATCAGAGGGAGACGGACTTAATTCTCGTCCAAGGTCGGAAGCGGCATGAAAGCATGCAGGCATTGTTTCATTCATTTTCTCATTCCCGACGAAACGACAGTACGCTTCTACGTCAGTAGAACTCGAACCGAAGGAATTCATTCCCATTACATTGTGTGCGGGAGTGGTTGAAGACTTTCCCGGACCCGAACTTTCCGTCGCATATACGGGAGCCTTGCATTCGTATTTGTGGTGCTACCGTCTTAGAAAGCACCAAAGACACGAATAATTCTGAAACTCGCAGTAGACTTGAATATGAGTAAGGCGCGGTTCGGCGCGGAAAGATGTGGAGAATCGCAAAGCCGATAACCGCATTTTGATGAGTGATGAAATGTGGATTCATCATTTAACGTCAGTATGGCATGCAAAGCCATTCTCACACCGCCTCGGCTGAAGAAATAAAGGGGAATGATGAAGTGGTGAAAGAGCTGCGCACTCGACCACAAGCATTCTAATGTCTCTGACGTTCAGGCGTTGCCAAAGCGATGAGACAAATACGTCCATGTAGGAGGGGAATACCTCGAGCAGTATGCATAATATGATGAAGATCAGATGTACCATAGATTTTCTGGAATGAAAAGTGCATATATATAAATCCTTCCACGGCACCTGCCGGTATTGGAGATATGAAGGGAGATGAACCACATCCCAGACCTCATACTCGCCTAATTCTGAAGGACAAGGCGAATGATGCTGGCCGTGCCCAAGATTGCTGTACGCTGGAGGATATCGCGTGAGATTTCACACTCCAGCTTCCTGACGTGTCCCTTGAGGTCTTTTAGGACGACACCAGTTGTGCCTATGATGATCGGAACGATGGTGGTCTTCATTCCGCACAACTGTTCCACTTCCACTCTCGGTTCGGAGTATTTCTCCAGCTTCTCCCTGGTCTTCTCTTGGAGGTTGTTATCGGCTGGGATACTCACATCTACGAGGAGGGCGGTCTTCTTCTCCTTATAGGTCGTGAGGTCCGGCCTATTGCAGCCTATACTGCGGTCTGTAATTATAGGCATGTCCCATAGTATCTTGGTGGAGGCGTTCTCCACAACAGACTCTGGCTGGTGTTCGTACCACTTCTCTGGGACTTCCAGGCCGGCTTGCTTTGAGACACACCAGTGCACATATTTGCACACTTGGTCGTGCCTGTACAAATACTCCCTCGGGGCTAGTTCGGGGCAGGCACTGAGGAGGTGGTGAACCGTTTCGGGTGGTCCATGACAGCATCTGCAGCGGTCTTCCACATCCAGCTTCAGGATGTGCTTCTCGTAGTTACGAGTTCTAATGCACTGGTCCTGAATGGCTAGGATGTTGCTCTCTGTCTCGGCATTCAGCAGTCCCTTCTTCAGCCAGTTATAGCTGACGTCTGAGTCGATCGATGGTTTATCCATGATCTTGGGATGCTGGCCGTGAAGCGGTTTCTCCTTCCATCGTGCTTCTCTTTGTCCTTGATCTGCCGTCTTCACATCCTTCGTGTCGCAGTCGTCATGGAGATGGAGTGCGTTTCGGAAGCGGGTGGCATCTCCCTGGATGGAGTGGGACTTCTTCAGGGCATCTCGCTCTCTCAGGATGGAAATGAGTCTTCCCTGCTTCCTTTCGACGTATCTGGCGACTTCCCACGTCGTCCGCTTATAGAGGGACTCGAGTTCGATGAGTCCCCCCCTCCCTTGCATCTCGGAGGGTAGAGTTTCTCGACGGCAGCCTTCGGATGGTGGGTGTGATGCATGGTTAGGAGTTTTCTGGTCGCTCGATTGATAGCTTGGAGTTCCGTAGGTGACCAATCTATAACTCCGAAGCTGTAGTTGAGGACAGGGGTGGCAAGGCTGTTGAGGGCAGAGATCTTGTTGTTTCCCGGACAGCTCGGTCTTTAGTACGAGACGGACTCTGCGTTTGTATTCTGTCGTCAGTCTCTGCTTCGTGCGTTTGACAGCCACGGAAGAGTTCTCTTCCACACCGAGGTACTTATAGGTGTCAGGGGCCGTAAGCTCTCGGAGTTGTTCGTCGTTGGTGGTGGTGATGAATCTTCACTTTCGTTCCATCAATCGTAAATCAGGAAAAAACCGTCTCTCTTCTAATGAGTCAAGCATCTTTCGAAGTGGCTTTCTTGTTTTTGAAAAGTTGCAAAACGTGCAATATGCTAATTTAACCGTAAGACGCATGACTGAATTATTCTAGATATTTTCGTAGGTCGGGTCAATGGGACCCACTGCCAAAATAACACGCTTAGTCTCACTTTTGAAAAGAACAATATAAATTTATCAAAGGAATGTCCGTGTAAGGAACCGATAAATCAAGTATGTACAGATGAAACACTTTTTGCATCGAATGGCGAGAGTCCCGACGACCCGTGTCATGCATCCTTGGGTTAACATAAACCATGGTAAAGTAAATGGTGCCCCATCGGCATCCGGCAGGAAAGAGATCCTCCAGTTCGTCAACTCACCGCATCGGCCTTTTTCTTCCCTGTAGTCTTCGTTGCACTCGCACTCTTTTGGTTTTCTCTTCCGACACTCTGCATTTTCCACGCAACCTTCTTTATGATGTTGACAATATACGCCCACGGGTACCTCTGCACAGAAGACGACACGATTCAGTCCCGATGGTCACGTGCCGTTGCGTGGCATGTTCATGAAAAATTACCTCGAGAAATAAAGGAAGCTCTGCTGTATCACACTCATTTCCGCTACGTTTAAAGTGCTTCAATATGGCTTTTTTACCCGTCCCAGAGAAAGTAAAATACCATCACTGTCTGAATATGAACTATTGTGTTCCCCATTAATATCATAATTTCATTGGAAAACGATAAAAATGAATAAATGACGTCAAACAGAAATTATTTGGAACAGTATAACATGTCAACATAACCTTCAAGATGTCATCGATGGAGACCGAGTAACTGCTGACAATTTTCCCTCCCTCGTGGACGAGGGTCATTCATGTTGGCACAAACAGAAATGCCTCGAGCACGATATTGGCAGACCAATGGTAAGTCATGATGTCAGCTCGGGGTCACCATGGACACATTTCGCTGTGCAGAAATATGACTTCTCTGTGCTGCATGAAAGCGGTGATAAGTCAGCGAAGGCGACTCAGGTGCGGTTGCTCGACTGCTACTGTCCCATTTTGAGGGCTCAATTTATGTTGTATATATGAGGGCGTTCAAAAAGTTTCCGGCCTGAGCGGAAAGATGAGCAGTTTGCACAACTTCGCTTTTTTCCATGATTCTCCATTCAATTTCAAGAGGAAAACTAGCATGCCCGGTCACTCAGCTTGTATTTTCCTTTTTTCACAGATTTTTTAAGTGAGGTCACTCTCATGTTTTTGTAAAAATGGAAAAGTGGAGTTTCGTGCAGTGATTAAATTCTTGCATTTGAAGAACTTAACTGCAAAGGAAATCCACGTTGAGATAGAGACTGCTTTAGGGGACAATTCTATTTCCTATATCACGTTGAAAAGTTGGGTTGCTGCATGCAAACGTGGCAGGCTGAGCACAGATGATGTGTCACGGTCAGGTAGACCAACAACTTCAACCTCTCATGAGAATGTTGATCGTGTGGAGGCTATGGTGTATTCAGCATGGCGAATGACCATTTGGCCCATTGCTAAGACCCTGCGGATTAGTGCTGGTAGTGTAGAGTCTATATTGAAGAACAACATCCGGATGAAGAAAGTGTCTGCCAGATGGGTGCCCAGAATGTTGAACGCAGAACCGATGCAGCATCGCCAGCATGTTTCGATGCAGCTTCTTTAGCGGTACCAGGCAGATCCAGCCGAGTTTCTCTTCAGGGTGGTAACCCAAGGTAAAGCATATGTTCACCACTTTGATCAGAAAACAAAACATCAAAGTCTTTAGCGAAAAAAAAAACAGATTCACTACCCATTAAAAATGCAAGGTCATGTAATTGCCTCAGCAGGCAATGACATGACCTGTGGCTTTTGGGATGCAAAGGGAATTCTACAAAGTGACTACCTGGAACATGGAACGAACATCACGGGTGACAATTACGACAACCTGCTTTGAAAGCTGAGAGTACCAATCAAGAAGAAGCACCAAGGGAAACTTCCTCAGAGAGTGCTACTTCTCCAGGGGAATTCACCAGCTCATGCCTCTCAGGTTGCAGACATTGGTCTCCGCCAATGCGGCTTTGGATTGCTTCCCCACCCTCCTTATTCACTTGATCTGGCTCTCTCTGAGTTTTACCTTTTCACTCTTTTGAAAGAAAATTTGCGTGGAAGGAAATTCAGTAGTGATTATGACGTCAAGATGGCCGTTGACAGTTTGAAGACCAAGAGGAATAATTTTTTTTAGTGGACTCAAAAAGCTGGAATCGCGCTGGCAAAAATGATCTATTGTTCCAGAAGATTATGTCGGAAAATGAAATAACATTCGTGTTCTTCTGACTTCGTCTTCTCCCTTAGACCGGAAACTGTTTGAACCCCCATCTATAGCAAACTTATTATTCCTATAATTCCTACTATTGTGATTTATTGAAGATTTTTTTACTGAATATATATGTATAGCATCATATATTTCATGGGGTAAATTAAGAAATCTTTATATGTGGATGCAACATATCGCAGCTCACGTGCCTTGGAGTCAAGCGGTGTTTGTCCACCTCTAAAAAACACACTCCGTTTTACAAAGGAACCATTCCATCGGACTCAGTTTTTAATCACATAGGATCAAGGATGATCATTCGAGAGAATCTTGATACGCTCCTGCGTATCAAGTATATGATCCTGCTCAGGTATCTAGCCGAATTGCCCATCTATTTATTATCGCGGCTGTTAATCGATCGCGTGTGTTTGAGTTGAATATCGAGTGCTGGTTCAACACATTCCCAAGGTGAAAGCTAGGCATCCTGGCAAGAATTATGCATCGGGTATCCTACTCAGCAAAGCAGAAACGTACAGTCAGGTACACATTTTGTACGTTTTGAGGTACAAACGTTGTCGTAAAATACGTTCGTTGAAAAGGTACACATGTGTACCTTTCTTATCTTTATTCACATCGGGCTTAAGGGGATTCAAAAACCGGTTCTAGACCTCAATTGAACTGCACTGAGAACCCGGACATCTGTGTCAGCAACGTACACATGTGTACGTCTGGACCACACGTACAGACCCGAGGGACACAATATGTACAGTACCTCTCACATTTGTACCTCTCCTTGTACGTTTCTACTTTGCTGTGTAGGTGGAAATATGTTCGAGGAGGCTGCATCCGAATTCATCCTTCTGACTGGGACTGAATGGTGGGAAACACCCATGACCCACACTCTCGATGACCCGCATTTCAGGCACCCAAGCAGCTTGATTAAGGTACTATGGGAAGATGAAAATCGAACTCCGTGGATCGAAATTGCGCTTCATAATTATTGTAAGGGACCTCAGGAAAGGGCCTTGGAGCCGATTGCTGGCTCTCTGAGGTCACGCCCGGGGCCATGATTTGAGGTCAAAGTTTGCGATTTACATGCTTCTCTTTGAAAATGTGTTTCGCCCCAAACCATTGGTTGCAGAAACGTCAAATACATTCCATTCTCATTGGAAGATATCGCGCTAAATGGAAAAAATGAATACATGCATGTAACCGTTGTCATCGGCACGCCATGGCGCCATAGTTGAGAAATTTTCCATTTTCGGATTCTGTGTTTTTCGCTCTCATTCCTCGAAGAAATTTTCCATCGACCAAAGCATGCTACACATTTTGGAGGCTATCCTGGTCCATCTTTTGGCGGAGTTGCGCTTAGTTTTCTTCAACCGTTGTCTCCCGAAGTTCGACGATCCACCTGAAAATGCCACTTTTTTGGAAATGACTTCACGTTGACGGACATTGCTCGAAAACGAGGTAGAAATTTTAAAAAATCATCTGATAGATCTCTTAAGAAGTCTCTCAACAAGCTTCATGAGGATTTTCATGAGAATCCGTTCACTCTCCTCGGAGCCAATCGCTTTTTGCTGCGGTCTATTTTGAAAATGGAAGCCATTTCTGCAATACCGGGTCGATCTCCTCTGTTCATCGGTCGAAAATACTGGATTTTTTGTGCCCTTCCCATATAGGGATGTTTCAGGGATCAAATGACACCAAGATTGCGTACTTTCTCCCAGGGAATAGAGAACGCGAGGCTTTAATTGCCGATTTGCATGAAATCTTGAATAGTAGCTCTTCCTTGTTGGACCTCCCTCCCGACTCACACCCACTTGTGCGTGGGTGTGATTATGTGTGTGTGTGAGGGATTAGCAGGAAAAGCAGGAAACCGATGCCGAATGCAGTCCCACTTGGACCAATGTTAGAAGTAAACACTGAATGAACTTTGTGCGCTGATGCGCGGCATGTTATTAGATGATGGTTAGAGGAATTTCGTGTTCCAGGTGTCCCAAAACGATGTTACATAAAAAAAAAAAGTATTTCGGAAATGGCTTTTGGCCACCGCGCCTTCGGACACATGCCACGTCATACCTTATTGTGTCACGAGATGGTTGGGCACCATCTGGAGAATTCACATCTCTTCCCTTAGGGTCAATGCCCATTTGAGTGCATGTTGGCGCTAAATTAAGTTTGTTTATAATATCTTCAATACGTTCTTTCTTCAAAGTGTTACATCATTTTGGGACACCTGGTATTTGCACGGCATCGTTTGCTCCCCCACCTTGCCTCTGAGTCACTCGCCGTCAGGAAGGACTCCAACGAGTACTCAGGAGTACACCCTGCCTCGATTGTCTCCCTCCGATGCATTCTTCCCTCTCGGGATTGGAAAACACTCACGGAGCTTCCTATCTCGCCCTTTCAGCGCATCCTATCCGAGCTCCCTGCGGTGATCCCTCATGATCGTACCGGGATCTGCACGACCTGAAGCGATGCCAGCCTCCACAATCATCGGGAATCCTTCGAAGTGATTCTCATCCCATCGAGTCGGGAAGCATACGTACTCCACGATTCCCAGGATTCTCCCTGGACTCGTTTGATTAGCATACTTAACCGAGCACATTCAGGAATTCAAGTGTCTGTTTTGCGTTGCCTGTAACGGTCCGGTACCGCACGAGAAGCAATGGGAAACGGTAGCAAGTCACCCCCTAATACCACTGCTATAGTGGATATTTAGGTGCCATCACGGAAACCTTGTTTGCTCGATCGATTCAGATATATGGCTCGCCCGCAGGTTGGCTGCCGCACCGACGTGTTGGATACACGGAAAGGCAACTGCGATGTCTGCCCGCGTTCTCTCACGTCCAGTCAACGTGGTTCCAACGTGTTGTGCTGCCTAAGAATTAGCTCAAGAAATGCTCGGTTCGTCGTTGACCTAAATACAAATTTCCGACTCCACATTCCGATTTCCTTCCCACTCGACAGCTCGAATTTCACAGCGTTATAGCAAGGGCATGAGGCCGACTGAGGATCTTTCCGATCGTCAGCCAATTACGACGGCGGTGATCGTTTCACACGAGAAGGTTTTCGGAAATATCAGAACTTGGAGCTTATCGTAAGAGATTTGCCCTCTAAATGTCAACTCGCGTCGCGTTTCTCGGTCGACGATCGGCCGCGAATACTTGTGGATCACTCACTGCACCGTCGGCGTTCCACGACGAAGACGACCTGGCCAGCGTCTTGGCATTGGCAGGTTCTCCATCCATCCCCGACGCAGGCGGCGTGATTCACGCAATCAGATTCCGAAGATTCTCTGCAGAGTTCCCCTACCGGGATCTCTGCGACAAACATCAGAATGGCAGGAATGAGGGGGGAAAATAGTTGTACATAACCGAAGTGAAAGTAAAAATAACATCGAAGAGAGTTACGGTGAAGGTAAGAGGGAGGCACTCGACGACCTACGTCCACCTTTCCACTAGTTTCACCCTATTCTGGCGAGTTATCGTGCCATAGAGGCTTCGAGTTTTCGATCCATATTTAAGACCAAAATAAAGCGATGAAAGTTCCTCTTAAAAGTCGTAGTGCCGGTCTTCCGATCTTCGTCGCATCTACACATCTACACGTCGTCGCACTTGTCTCTTCAACAATTTCATGGTACGAGTACCTCGACGAGTGAAAATGTGTCACAAATAACGAACTGCTTTTCGCCATTCCTCGCACCGTGAACAAGATAGGTATATCGGTACCCATATCACTCGTCCGCGAACGAAACGGGACGTGCGACGATTCGCGTCACATTACGAAACGGTGCATAACGGTGCGTGCATGCGAAAATACGTAAATGCACTCACTGCAGTGTTTCCCCTCCTCGAGGTGACTCTGCTCGCACTCGCACGTTCCATCGACACACACGGAATGCCGAGGCTTGCACTCCCCATCGGAGTCGCAGGAATCCCCCAAACCCGAATCTAAAGGAAGCAGACGAAAGCATCCTCGCTCTCTCGTTGCTCCTCCCACGAGAAACCGCTCGGGCGGAACTCACTCTTGCCGAAGCAGCTGCTGTGGGACGCGACGAGGACGAGGAGGAAGAAAGCGAGCATCGTGCCGCGTGCAGGAGAACAAGTGTTATCTGAACGAAAACACGGGATCGACACAGGAAGTCCTGCTCTCCGTGCGTCACCGAACATCAAATAGTGATTGCGTCGAACTCGAAGAGGTTCCGACGCGACACATTTTCAGATAACTTTACCATATCCCAGCGAATGAGCATTCACCTTGTTTTGATGTGCGTGAACTGTTTCTCGTGAGACAAACCGGTAAGCATAATTTGAAACCTTACACCTGTTCGAACACTGGGACTGGAACAGCCAATCAAACTCCTCCATGACGTCATGGTGGAAACATGGCTACCTCCGCGGCTGCGGGTGAATGCAACAGGCACAACTCAACTAGAGTCACTAGGTCACTGAGCATGTAGCTGAACTCGAAAAGAAACATAGTCCTATGGTTTTCTCACTTAACTTCGATGGCTCAACGCAGGTCGACAATATGCTAAAAGCACCATTGTAGATCCGAAAGTGTTTAAACTGAGGTAGTAAAAAAATGTCCAATTAGGAAATTGTCAGCACTGCTACTGATTGCAGAACTCTTGCAAACCTAGGCCTAAAGTCGGGCCTATTCGCAGTTAGCAATACGAATAAGGTCGGCCTGCCTTGCACTATCGATGTTTGGTGAGAAAACCTTAGTCCTACCTAGAGCGACTCTAAAATATTCATTACTCCCTGCTTTTCCGATAGCGACTATGTTTCTTTTCGAGTTCAGCTACATGCTCAGGGGCCTAGTGACTTTAGTTGAGTTGTGCCAGTTGCATTAACCCACAGCTGCGGAGGTAGCCACGTTTCCACCATGACGTCATGGAGGAGTTTGTTGGCTGTTCCAGTCCCAGTGTTCGAACAGGAGTAAGGTTTCAAATTATGCTTCCCGCTTGCGGATCCCCCCCCCCCTCCCCCGCTCACGCGCCCTCTCCCTCCCTCGCACAATCCTCTCGCACCCACTCCCTTCTCATTCCCCTTCCCCTTCCCTGAGCCTTTGTACCGGGACGTGCCTGGCACCCGCCTTCTTGTCTCCAGTCTCGCCGTCTCGACGTGTGAATGCGTAGACATTACTAGACATTGGCCCAACTCTTCCGTCCCCTCTGCTTCATCGCTTTTTATATTCCCATTCATGATGCGAAGTACCGAATTACTCTTTCGTTTCCACTGGTTCGTTCACGCTTACTGTGGGTGAACCCTTCATACATCAAGTTTTAAGAATGATATATCGATTCAACTACAAGGAACATTTTCACTCTATGAAATTCAATTTAGTAATGGAAAGGCGGAATTTGAACCTTTTTCGTTGGAAAATTATACTGTACTAGCGGCCTGCGGCCGCTACGCTGGCCGTCTAGTATGCGGGAATTTGAATAATCTATTGTGAGCATCACATCTTCTTGACAATACTCTGTTCATTGCATTACCCATTCGGAACTAAACCACTTCATTGTATTCATATACATATAGCGTACAGTACACAGGGATATTCTGCTCCTAAACATCATCACGATATTCGAGCTGATTGTCACAATCGCCATTGTGAACTCCTCGGTTTAGAACGTTTTCATGAGACTCAAGACGATATTGCTGATTTCGTCTTCCCAACAAATTCAACACTCTTGCATCACCGATTAGCTCATCGGCTATTATCGTTAGTGTATGGTACAGACACCAATGATTCTGAAACAGTACAGACTGTTTCCTAGAAATTGTTCGACGGCACAGAGGGAAGTTAGTGCATGTGCGGCACAATGCTAAAGACTAATTCCTGAAAATGCTCAATCTTGCATCAAGTTGCTTAGCAGGCGGAACGGCTTTCCTATTCCGAAGTTCAGCATTCGCTGCCTCTTGCTGTTCTGCGGTCTGAGCGGCTTGCTGTTTATCACCGATTCTAATCTAATCTAATCCTATGGCTCAGACTGATATAACTCGATGGACCTGGCGCTAAAGGCGTTGAATGGCCAAGCTTATGGCCTAGCCTTTGGCCTGAAGTGACATGGTCTTGTAGGCCTCGCGCGCTGGGGTGACAACTACCACCATCACAATTCTCGGGCTCTTCGAATTAACGTTTAAGATGGCCTCCAAAGGCGTAGCCTTGTAGGCCTGGCGCTTTAGACCGCGGATGGCTTGGCCTATTGATCCAGAATGAGATTGCATCGTAGGCCTACGCGTTGGGGGTGACAGCCACGGCCACCACCACCGCAACTTTCGACCTCTTCGAATTAAAGTATAAGATACTTGCAGCTGAATAGAATTTTTTCATCATTCCCGCTGCTATCAGAATTAGTGGCTGACAGAAGTAAAGTTTCCTACTGTCATCGTTTCTCCAGTGGCCTTTGAAATTTAAGTTTCAGAATTGGAATGAGTAATTTATGGAAGTTCCATCGTTGTGTCTTTGCGTAGGAACGTGTATTTTCCTAGGTGTACATCATACGAAGCTGAAAATCCGGATTCGCGCACTTTACATGTTCACTGGGGATATTTCTCTCCAAGTCTTGCATGCTTACAACTTTGGGAGGAGGGGCATTTATGTGGCTCCTCTTTGTGACGGTGGAATTCCCTTATACCAGGGGTGTGAAACATACGGCCCGCGGATGAGGTTCATCCGGCCTGCCGTCTGTTTCTGTTATATCCGATTGGATTAACTATCAGCACAAATTTTGGTGAAAAAAGTATGGGTGCGGCCCTCAGGCATCTGTAGGGTAAATAGCAGATAGGATATTGACAGTATGTGAATTCGTGTAGTGTACAGGAATTGTTTGCTAGTGCCACCTGCTCAATCGATAAGAAGCAGCGACGCACTTCCTGTTCCGAATATTCATACGCTATTGCATTTGAACCACTTCACCTGTATCACAAACGTAAAGTAGAGCATACACTATTTGCTGACTGTGGCTTTGCGGAGAAACGACATTATGAAATGGATGTTGACGTGTCGTAGTCAAATAATAGACCACGCCGGATGTTTTCAAGTAGTAAAGACCATTATCGATAATGTCAACGATCGTTGCACCAAAAGGAAACAAACGCCTTTGCGCTCTTGTACTGTCTGTTAAACTCTCGAAAATTGCGAACGTTTTCATATTCACATGGAGAGCGTTTTCAACTCTGGCGAAAACTCCAATGGGTTCGATTGGATGATCATGAGAACAACCTTGCCGAAGTTAGCCATTCTCCGCTTCGAAATGAAAAGCCAGACAATGCTCAACAGAGCATTCAACATCCATAGGGTCGCGTCATGCGAAACGGCTGGAATGCGATTGGGCGTCCTAGCCAAAGCAAATCGAGTATGGTTAAAATGTCGCGTACACACGCTGCTCTCCTGCAGTTCCCCTCTGGCATTATCTTCAATTTGCTCATAGGTCAGTGTAGACCTACTCAGCCTCGCCGCTTCTCTTGCGCGGGTGCATTGCATCACATGTTGTAAAGCAGTTTAACACATCCCCCAGTACTTAGGTCCTGAAAAAGCACAGGCTGGTAGGCCCAACATCTGCATGGATGAATCACGAAACGCGCCAAGCCTATGCCGTGGAAAGAAACTGCTCGTAGGTCTTTCGTCTATCTAGCCTATGACAAATAAAAACCAAGGCATATAGGCCTGTGGGCTACCTAGCCTATTTCCTTGAGAGTGGAAAGCTTTATGGGCCAGAGGCTACACCTACCATGAATCTCCTAGTAAGAACATTTCTTTTGAGATTCAAATTTTAAGATTTTTCTACTTAGTCCCTCTTGAGATCAATGCCTTTGGACCAGCGACGCTGCAAGTCCACTATGCCTTTCCGATGGAATAAGAGTTGCACCATTCAGTGACAGCGTTGATGACATCATCGTCGGTAGCAAACTGCTTTCCTCGGAGGTGTCTCTTCAGGTGCGAGCGAAGATGATAGTCAGAAAGGGCTAAATCTGTTGAATAGGGTGGGTGCGAAAGCAATTAGAAGCCTCAACTCTCCAGAGCTTGCAGAGCGACGCGAGAGGTGTGAGGTGTTCCTAAGAAGCACAAAAGTAGTGGACCATAAGTTGCGCAGGCAGTACACTTGCGGATTTCTGCCGGTAGCGGGAACGTGGCGGCAAGTTGGGTTGCCAGCCCTCTATCTATTTTAGGTAGGAGGGCCACCAGCTCTCTCCAAGCTGGTGGCCCTCCACCAGTTTAAGGCGGCCAATGTAGCTGGCACTCCTTCCCACTTCTTCCCCGTTTTTCCTTTTTTAAATGTGTAATTTATAAATAGGAACTACGAAATCATGGAATTATGATGTTTTGATTGCGGTATAAGATTCGGGGAATTATTAAATGCTGAAGTTTAATATGACAATTCAGAAGTGTATGGGACTAGGGTAGGGTAGAAAAAAAACTGGGTATTCGATTTGGCAGCAGCTCGCAATGAGTCCACTGCCTTCCCATGCCCCAGCTCCCGGGGGTAGAACTCCCGGCAGCTAGAACTGCCTTTTTCAAGGCTTCCCAGTACCTGGTGTGCGAGCGACTGGCTCGATCTGCACACTCACCTTGTTTGTACTCTCTCCAGCTCTCCTAGCCTTCATCTCTTCTCCGTCTTCACGTGTCCTTCATATCCGATCTCTTCCTACCCTCTCTTCGCCTTTTGGTTTCTCTCTCTTGCCTGTTCCTCCTCTAACACCGCTCACTCTTTTCTAAAGTCATTGTCTAATTGCTCCTTTTCTCTCTCCTGTTCACAACTTTCATATCTGTCTTCTCTGCTCATATCTTGACTCCTTCTCTTGTCCCCCTTCTCTCCCACACTCACGCACTTCACTCTCCCCCCTTCTTTCCCACGCTCCTTCCTCACGCATCTCTTACCCCTCTGAGTTCGACTTCGCATACTTTTCTATTTATTTCCCTTCATCAGGTCTCTGCTTCTTCCTCCTAACGCCTCACTTTTCTCGTATACTGCAAGAACCGGAACACTCCATCCTCTTCTTTCCTGCTCTTTCTCCCACGTCCTGCCTTCACTGGCTCTTGAGCATCCGTTTTCTATACTCTCCAATTCCGCTTAATACGGGCTTTCTCCCTCTCCTTATTTCATCGCTACATTAACATCTCTCGCCCACTTCCGTCTCGTCTCTACATGT